CGACTGCCCTGACAGGGATCACAACAGAGAGTCCCAGACAGAGCTGTAGAACAAAATTCTAACTCACAAAAAAAAAAAAAAGACCAGACTTACTGGTCTGACAGAGACTAGAGAAACCCCGAGAGTATGGCCCCTGGACACCCTTTTAGCCCAGTATGAAGTCACTGCTGAGGTTCACCCTTCAGCCAAAGATTACACAGGCCCATAAAACAAAAGGAGACTAAATGGACACACCAGCCCAGGACCAAGGATGAGAAGGTACGAGGGGACAGGAAAGCTGGTAATGGGGAACCAAAGGTTGAGAAGGGGAGAGTGTTGATATGTCATGGGGCTGGCAACCAATGTCACAAAACAATATGTGTATTAATTGTTTAATGAGAAACTTGTTTGCTCTGTAAATCTTCATCTAAAGTACAATTTAAAAAAAGTTAAGATTAAAAAAGAAAGAAGACAGAGAACGTTAAAAAAAAAAGAAAAGAAAAGGAGGCAAGGTAAAATACTGAAGATACACCAGGGAACATACACAAAAAAGGCAGAAAGGAAAAGGAGTAATGGCTATCTCCAATTCAGAGAAAGGAGTAATTTTGAATTGTTCTGCGACAATGTGTTCTACCTGGGAACTAGTGATGCTCAGTGGATAGGCCCTGCATCCTTATCAGTGCTGTCCCTGGGCTTTACAGAGCATCTCCTGGGACCACCCAGGAGAAACATGAGGAACATGGCTGCCAATGAGTGGCGCCAAGAAACCCCAGGCCCATCTCTGTGCTGGGAGGGTTTTCCTGGCTTTTAACACTATCATTTCTGAAAAAGCTAAAGAAAGGGAAGCGCCCAGTGCCCCAGGACTCAGATAAACCAACCAAACCTCTTGCCACAGAATCGATTCTGACTCATAGCGATCCTATAGAGTGGAGTATAATTGCCCCATAGGGTTTCCAAAGAGAGGCTGGGGGATTCAAACTGCCGACCTTTTGGTTAGCAGCTGAGCTCTTAACTACCGAGCCACCAGGGCTCCAGGGAAGAATAGGGTGACTCTAAATACTCAGGCCTCCTGACACAGTGGATTAAGGGCAGGCCAGGTAGGCAGCTGCTCAGACACTGTTCTATAAAGAGTGCTAAGACATCTCTGGAAGAAATCAGAAACATGGGGCCTGCTAATGCAGGTTTCCACAAACAACCCCTTACCTAACTGGCAGGAGTAAATTGGTTCTATTCCCCTGGAAGTAAACAGAACCTTCTAGAGAAAAATGAAAAAGATTAAAAAAAAAGAAGAAGCGTGCTCCCTTGTTTCAGTTAGTTAAGGTGGCCAAATGCCCCTGCTAGTCCGGGAGATTCCCAGGTTATGTCTGCTATTTCAGTGTAATTATTAATAGCAATCCCTTCTTCACAAAGTGTACTGGTTTGGATGACAAATTATATCTTATGTTTCATCCATGTAACAAATTACTTACACAAAAACAATGAAACATACACCTTTCTAGTAAGAATTATATTTCAGGGTGACCAGCTGAGGAGAGAACCTTCTCCTTTACAGAAGAATAAAAAAAAACAGAGTTGATTCTGACTCATGGCAACCCTATGTGTGTCGGAGTAGAACTGTGCTCCACAGGTTTTTCAATGGCTAATTTTTCAGAAGTAGATCACCAGGTTTTCTTCCGAGGCCCCTCTCAGTGAATTCAAACCTCCGACCTTTTGTTAGCAGCCAGGCATGTCAACCATTTGCACCACCCAGGGACTCCTACAGAAGAATGCCAGCTAATAAACGTAGACCAACTCATAAAAATAGGAAATCATTATTTTATAAATCCTAATAAAATTATGAGGCCCCGATGGTGCAGTGGTTAAGAGCTCCTCTGCTAACTAAAACGTCGGCAGTTCAAATCCACCAGCCGCTCCCTGGAAACTCTATGAGGCAGCTCTACTCTGTCCTATAGGGTCGCTATGAGTTGACGGCAATAGGTTTGCTTCGGGTTTGGTTAATGGAATTATTAATTCAGATCACGAATTATCAACTGGAACTAAAACCATTAGGTGAAGGCTTGGTGGGGAACTGGAAATCATGCAGTAGCAAAGTAACACCATACAGACTGTTTTTGGTGGCAAGAGGAAAAATATAACTTAATAAGAGAGGATGTCATTGCCCTAATACTGTGATGAATCTTAACTTTACCAGTGATGGGTCCACCTGATATAGCTGGTATCTCTTGATGTGACTAAGTGCACACCACCACCTATAATGCATTTAAGTCAAAATGCTTAACCTGAGCCTAATCAAGTCTTTAAATCTAACTTCCAGTTTATAATAAATTTAAGAGATAGAGGGCCAAGCTAAATTATACTACAACAGAAGCAACCCAGCAAATCCAGAAGGAATACAAAGTGAGACTCTGCTAGATTAAAAGAACCTTAAAGGACATATCAAGCAGATGCAACGTGTGGTCCTAAAACCGGCCAATTCTGTAGGACGTTTTGAAGGAATCTGGGAATCTTGAATATGAACTGGATACGGAATGATAAAAAGCCCTGATTATTAATTTAGGTGAAATATTGTATTATTTACCATGTAGGAAAATACTGTTTTTTAAAGGCATGCATATGGAAATGTCTAGGGGTAGAAGGACATGTTGATAAATAATTTACTTTATTACTTTAGCAAAAAAATAGGGTTAAAAAAGAATTAGGTATATGTGCATAAACACATATCCACATATATTCTTAATTTAGAAAACAGATTTCTTTCCATCCCCACTAGGTGAAGGTAGAGGTATTTAAAGACTACTCATTTGAAGAGGCTGCAGTTGGCACGTCTCAGGTGCCCCACAACCTGGACAGGCTTTATCATGAGGGATGTGCTCAAAGAGCGGATGTACTTCTATGGCGGACTCAGCCTTTACCGACAGATTCTAAGATGGTGGCTTTCCCAGAATCACAGCACTAGCAGGGGCCTGGAGAAACTGTTTTGTTTAGCTCTTTACCCTAAAGCAAGTAGATATGGCAGCATACAATTCTCATACCAATTAATGAGTACATGTTTGTCCAGAAATCCACAAATCTAAACTGAGGGAATGTCACCAGGAATGGAGCCTTGTTTCAGGAATGCGTTCAGAGGAGCTGATACAAGTGTCCTCTGTGCAAACAGGAATCTCTCTGAGGGTCTCTCCCCAGGAGCAGAAGGCAAAACAGGTCCCTAATGGGGAGTCTTAACCCTGGTAAGCAGACAATTATTAGACAATGGTGCTCTGATTCCCCAATAGCAAGATGTCTCTGTAGGGAGAATTGTTACAGCTGAACAGGTAAGGAATAGAAAAAATGGAAAGGGATAGAGACAGGATTTAAGTTAAAAGTAAAAAGACAGAAGAAAAAAGATGAGAGGGAGAGGATTTATTAGATAGGGCTAGTAGCAAAGTGAGAAGTAGAAAGGGGTTGAAGGAGAACCAGAGAGACTCAAAGATGAGGGCGGAAGGGATAAACTAGCAGAGATGAGAAGACATAATGAGCAGGAACAGGGAATGATGGATAAAACACACCAGCAACATGGGGTGGTAGGTGAAATTTCAAAGAGCAGAGGAAAAAGAAGGACAGAGGGGACAGGAAGGAAAGAAAGACAACTGGTCAAAGGTTGAGGGGGCAGAATTCGGAACAGACGAGAGTGGAATGCATCCTTTCATCTTTGTATCCTCAGAAACTTACATAGTAGGAACTCAGGAGGGAGACAAGGAAGGGGGCAAGGAGAAAGAAGCAGAAAGGAAGTAAAAGATAAAGGAAGGCAGGCTGAACAGCAGAAGAGAAAGGCTAGGAATAAAAAGAGCAATGTGAAGGTGTGGAGGAAGGAAAAAGAAAACAAAGAGTGAGTAAAGCACGTATTTTACAGGCAGACAAGGGGGCTAATGGGAGTTAAGATTATGACAGATGCGGTGCTCCTGGGCATTCTATTTCACATTCCAGAATTATGTCATTCAAATTTACCACAAGAATACAAGAAACATTTTGACCAAGCAACATTTCTGTGGCTGGCTTGAATTCTAACTTATCTTATACAAATGACTGGAACTAGAGTAAAAGCATGGTCAGCTTTTGAAAAAACAGCTGCATAGCTCTTAGATCTCCAATGCACTACTGAGCGAGGCCAGTGAGCCTGTGAGGGCTTCTTTTCCCCACGGCTCTGCTCTTATCCAGTGGGTCATTTTATCATATGTACTTGGCCTAAGGCTGCTGAATATTTTCCACCCATTCTTCTGTCTGCCCAGAACCAAAACAAGAGGAGGCAAATGCTGGGTTAATATAATTAATGTAGACAGAAATCTGGCTACATACTACAAAAAAATCCATTTCTCAGGCGCCTGGTTATCTAGATTGCCGACTACATTGATTACATTAATCTGACCATTGCCAAATCTTTACTTTCTTTCCATGAGGCCAGATTTAATCTAGAGAACTAACAGATCTCTCTAAGATGCAAAGCATTCCCAGGACACGATTTTGATTGACAGCTCACAAAATAATTCTGGAATGCATGTATAATTAGACTCACACACAACTTTCAAGCAAAGGAAAACCTATCCATCAATATAACAGTGGCCTCTCAGAAACAGTCAAGGTTCTGCATCTGAAAACTGGAGACTAGGAAGTCTCATGTTTGAAGAAGCCATAATCAAGCACATTTTTGTTTGTAGTTTCTAATGTGTGTGTAGGTGTTTTATGTGTTTGAGAATCACTACTTTGCAATTTGGGGGGAAGAGACAGGTTGGCGGAATCAGATTCCTTAGAATCCTCAGTTTGTTTTTCAAGCAGAAAACAGAAAATTAATATTCTTCCTGACTCATGATGTCAGTCACTAGATTTAAGGATTGGCACAAGTTTAATATCTATACTTCCCAATTTGAAGTGTGGATCAGATACTATGTACACAGCACAGAATACTGGATTATGATAATCACAGAGAACCTCCAGGTGGAAAGAGAGTAAAGAGAAAGATTCACAGGGTCACTAGGATGAATACTCACTATTTGGTAGAGTCAGATAACTGATATTCTCGTCGTCTGTCATAGCACTCCTGGATTCCAGGATCGTTCCATAAACTCTTTATTGCATCTACGTACGGGCTCTCAAAAGCAGACACTTTCTCCACATCAACTTCTCGAACTAATTGTGCATGGGCCTGTTTGAAACAAATAAATAAAGCTGTTTTAATTCTCTTGCCGTCACTGAAAATTGTCTTTGGTTTGCACATTATATTTTGCACAATTCAGGTATTATCTTTTCAAACTGGTTAATAAAAAAGTAATGCTTTGGGGCAGGGGGAGTGTTTGTTCGTTTTGTTTTGCTTGTAGGCGAGAACTCAGTCCTAAATCTTTCCCTCTAGAGTAAAACTTGAAGCTACTTAAAGGTGATTTAGGAAAACAGTGTTCAGCTCCCTAGAGAACAATGAGCAAGTCATGCTAAACATAAGACTGTTTTTAGATGATTATCATCGTCCAGCTGCTAACCAAAAGGTCGGCAGTTCAAATCCACCAGCCGCTCCTTGAAAACCCTATGGGGCAGTTCTACACTGTCCTATAGGGTCGCTATGAGTTGGAATGGACTCAGTGGCACCCAACAACCTCATATTCCTAGAACAATTAATATTATTAAAGGGAAAAATGACAATTCCTCCATGCTTACACTTCATTATAATCAAACACAACATGTACTCAGCGCATGAGTGTTAAGTGTATTTGCCAAAACTCAACCAATCAGGATTAGTTTCTACAGTTCATTTTTTAGGATAAGGTATAAAACTATAGAAAAAAAATAGTGATGATTTAATCTGAACAACAATAACAATCCCCACTCCTGCTTCCACATACTCCAACTTCCTACACACTTATTTTATATTTTCATTATCTACATTATTGGATTGAGAACCCTATTTGGCTTTTTAAACAATGAAACAGAACTTTGTCATCTTCATTATACTACATTTACAAAATGTAAGGAAAGGGGTAAAACACCCAAAAATCCAAACTCATTGCCGTCAATTCAATTATGTCTAATAGCGACCCTATAGGACAGAGTAGAACTGCCCCATAGGGTTTCCAAGGAGCTACTGGTGGATTTGAACTGCCAGCCTTTTGATTAGCAGCTGAGCTCTTAACCACTGTGCCATCAGGGCTCCAAGGAAAGGGGTAAAGAAATTTTAAAAACATTTTCCAATAAGATTGAAATAAAAATGTTTTATGGTCAACCCTCAAATTAAGCAGAATACACCACTGCCTAATAATCTCAGTCAAACCAGGTTTCATGGAATATAATATATATGCAAATTACACATGTGTATAAATATGCAAATAAACATAATAACTAATTACCTTGGAAATTAGAGCCAGATGGCTGATAATTTATCCTGATTTTGTACAGAACTACAAACTTCTGAGCTGGTTAGTGAATGGCTATCATGATCAAACGATGGCCTCAGTATTCACATCCTGGAATTTTCGGCAGATATAATTTCAATAAATTTCATCCATGTTAGACCCTGTCTGGTTCCCAATCTTTACCTTCCTTCTCTTCTCTTAAGAGGAGAAGGCCCCATTTCAAAAACTAATTTTAACTTAAGTAAGGTTTTAAGAAGCCCAATACACTGAGACTGAATATATCACCCTTCTTGCTAGTTGTACTCTGACCTTGAAAGTCAGGTCCAGTAATTGAGAAGCACTAGCTCCACCCTACACCCTAATCTTGGAAAATGGATCCCTGTAGTTGCTTTCTGTATTTAGTCCCTGACCAGGAAATCTGCCTTGTTATCCTACCAGCGATCTTACCAGCCTGGAGTGCTGTCCCTGATTCCTACCCCAGGTAGGGCCCTACCTCTATTGTATTATATTTTTATACAAATAACACACACCTTCTACCGTTGTTCCGCCAACCTTGCCCTCCCCTGCAAGGTAATTTCGTAAGTGTCGCTATGCCAATTTTTTTTTTTTTTTTTCATGATTTACGTGCTTCCTAGGGAGCAGGAGGTAGGAGGGGGAATTTCCTGCTGGATATACTCCAAACACCTGGTTTCAAATCTGACTCTGCTTCTTTTGTGTGCGTGTGTGTCTGTGTACCTTCATACCCATTACTAGTATTATTAAACATTAGCATTAATAATTATTATGTTTTTGTATTATTACAGGGTCACATCTGTGAGAACGGGTGAGCAGGGCGTGCCTACCCTGCAGGGTTGCTGTCAAGCTAGCTAACAAAGAGGTGAACATGGCTTAAGGCCAGACACACAGTGCCCTCCCCCCTCCACCATAAACATCTGTTGAATGAATAAGAGCAAAGTGCTTCTCTCTAAATGTTTTCTATAAACGTTTCATCTTAATGATCAGTGGGAGCTTCCACATGGAAGTAAGCGCCAAAGAAGTTCACAGAGCAGCAGCCTGGGCTCCGGCCTGGTGGACTCTGATTATGTTGAACAAAATAGATCCAGATCTAACTCTGCTTCTTAACAGCCTTGTGATCCTGGGTGAGCCGCTTAACCTTTCCAAACATTATTTCCTAGTGGGGAACAGGCTTCCCCATCTACCTCATGTGGATTTGTACAAATCAGTAATAACATTGTAGGTCAGCTGTTCTCAAACGGTGGTCTGCAAACCAGCAGCATCAGTATCACCTGGGAATTTGTTAGAAATGCAAATCCTGGGATCCCATCCCAGACTTGCTGAATAGGAAACTCTGGAAGTGGGGCCCAGCAACCCGTTTTCAGAGTTCCTCCAGATGATTATGATGCACGCAAACATTTGAGAACCACTGCAAACGATAAAGCTCCACACAGAAGTAAGTTGTTATGATTATAATCTAATTGCCTGGTTGGCCACAGAATTGCTATTGAAGGTTAGTGAGAAAAGGCTCATAAAGGCAACGGTCATTCCAAAGCAGGGGTCATTAACAGATGGTCCAATCTAAGATACAACTATTCGTCTCTTACCGTCCAGAAAGGAAGTGAAGAAAACCAAAGACTTAAGGGAGTAATTAGTCCAAAGGATGAACAGACCACATGAATCACTGCCTACACAACCCTGAGACCGAACTAGATGGTACCTGGCTACTGCTACTGATGGCTCTGACTGGGATCACAACAGAGGGTCCTGGACAGAGTGGGAGAAAAATTATAAAACAAAAAATCAAACTCGCAAGAAAGATGAGACTTACTGGTCTGACAGAGACTGGCGGAACCCTCGAGACTATGGCCCTAAGACACCTTTCTGAACTGGAAATGAAGCCATTCTCAGAGACCACCTTTCAGCCAAACCATAGGCAGGTCCATAAAATAAACAATAACACCCAAGAGGAACAGGCTCCTTAGAACAATCAATTATACAAGATCAAAAGGGCACCATTTTCCCAAAAGCAAAGGTGAGAAGCCAGGAAGGGGTAGAAAGTCAGAACAAGAGGAAACAAGGAAACTAGGGCGTTAAGGGAGATTGCTGACACGTTGTGGGGAATGAAACAAATGTCATGAACACTTACATACAAATTATCTAATAGGAAACTAATTTGCTCTGTAATTTTTCACCTAATGCACAATAAAAAACAAGCCAAAAAAAAAAAAAAAAAAAAGATGGTTCATAAAGGCCAGCAGAGTATGGAAATTAGTAAAACAGGCTGGATAGGCACTAGGGAGTGATGGGGACTGTGGCACACTGAGAAATACACGCCCTAACTAAGGAGAACAGATGCTATTTAGCTCCAACCAACTGTTGACATTGGGAATATAGGCCCCTCACGGCCAGATCCTTCAATCATTCAAGGGAAGTTAGAAATAGGGATTTTTCTGTGTAATATCCCTAATTTTAAATCTTGGCAACCTTATGCAAGATAAAGCATATTTGTGCCTGAGCTGAACTGTGGGCCTCTAATTTGCAATACTTGCTCTAAAAGATTCTTACTCATTTGCTCCCCTAATAAGCTTGACCCATAGTACTACACTCTATATGTAACTTGGAACACAGCAGCTGGACACTGGTTAACTCATGATCATGAATAATTTTCCAGCCCTTTTCCACAAAAATATTTAGACAAACTATTATCCATAGGGAAAAATGATTAGAGATCTCTGTCTGAATTGGGTAATAGCTATATGTTAGTGTAGGTAGTTTTTCTAAAATGAATTTGATACTCACAACGAGGCCAACCATGTAATTTGGAAGGTACTCTGTTTCTGGAGCACTTAGCTTCTGCCAGAGAAAACAGTTTCAACATACCAGACACTTTTCACTATTATGATTAAATGTTTATTGGATCCCGGTGAGGTACGAGGCAATACACCAATCACAGAGTTAGACATAGTGCCTGCCCAAGGGAAACAGTCCATATGGATGGCAAGCAAACAAAGCTGAGGATTATGTGGTTGGAAGTAGAACAGGGAGGGTTATTTGTATTTCCATCTTTAATTCCAGTTGACTGTAAGGGCATCTGAATAAAGACAACATTCTCAACAGTGCATAAAGCTGCTACTTTGCACGAAGAGCCTGTTCCTGTAAAGTAAGACTACTTTCCACTGCCTGAAAACTCCCATAATTTCCTATCTCGGTCTATTTCTACTTGCTTTTCCTTACACCTGAAACGCCTTCCCGCTTCTTTCCATACCTTATTTGGCTTTTGTTCAGGGGCTGTATTATATGCCATCTCTTATAAATCTTCCTGATTTTCCTCCTCTCCAAAAAAAAACAAAAAACCACAGTGATCCTTGTGCCCTCTGAACCACGGAACTTCCACATGTCCCTCTTCCAGACTATATTTAGGAAAGGAGCTATGGCTTACTGACTCTAATTTCTTTGGGGTCCAGTATAGAAAGAGTATACAATAAATATCTGTCATATTTAATTACATTTAAAAAGTATATATAAACATGATGCTAAGTCCCAGGATTCAAAGTTAGTTTCTCAAGGAAGTCTTCCATCCATTATGTCCTACATCATCCCTGGTAGCACTCACCTCAGAAGTCAGTTCACATTTATTTGTGTGATATTTGTTAAGATCGCCCTCCTCAATCAAAGTATAAGTTGAAAGACACGCTCAACACTGGCCTAACAGAGCATCTGCCACCCAGTAGATGCACAATAAATATCCGTTGAATGAATGAAGGACAAAAGGAAGAATGGAAATTGTACTAAGCTGAACATCTCGGCA